GATCTTCATAGTGCACTTGACACTCCTTCAATGAAGTCATGAATTATTTGCATTGATATATTTATATTTTCTTTAAAATATCTATTAATGTATGCTAAGTTGATAATGCTAACCAATGATTATAAACATAGTGTTTTAAGTGGTCGTCTATAGATTTGTTTGTCTTTTGCAATGGCGCTCTTAATGCAGATCAAGCGGTGAAGAACATTGTTGAAGGAGGTGTTGAGCCTTCTCCATTGGCAACGCATGGATTATTTAGAATATTGAGCAGTCTGTTGCTATTCTCGATGCTAGGTGTATGTTTTATTTGATTTTCCCTTCATTTGCAGTTGTTCATCATGCCATTGTGGTTGCTTTTCAAATATATCTAATCGCATCTCATATAAGACGCAAGCTTATTTATCAAGCTAGGTAGGAGCTTTTCCTTTCTTCTATTCAATGGTCCACTTTTGCTTTAACTTCTCTGGTTCTTCTTCATTCAGAACAACTATTTTGTTGTTGTCTCCTTCAATTGTAGAAATGGTATTCGTTGTTAAGCCATTTTTTTTTATTTATTTAAAAAGCGCGAGTCTTCCTTTTGTAGAGATTGTTCCTGCTGCAAATTAGGTCATGTAAGTGGCTAAAACTCTCTACTATTTTTATTCTATCTGTCTTGATTCAGTTTTTTAAACTCTTTTTGGTGCATATCAGGCTGGTGTATGCCACTGTAAAGAGGTAAGTGGCTCCAACTCAATAGTGGCACTAACAGTTCATTTTTTAAGTAGTTGTATGCTATTTGTATTTGATTCGAAGCTTTTGGTTGTATAGTCTAATGTATTTGGTTCAGATTTTTTTTGTTGTAAATTTCATTTTCTTTCTACAATTTATTACCTTTTTTAAGTTTTGCAGTTCATTTATTACTTGTATAGTCCATATCTGTAGTTCTTATGCATCATTAGAAGACCTTAACTATCAACAAAAAGTTGAGAATTCCATATTGACAAAAATGGTTCAGCATAGTTGAACCAAGAATTTTCATTGGGTGTTTTAGATGTTTTCATTAAGGTGGTTGAAACAATGAATTGGATGTCTTCATGAGTTGAGTTAAAAGGTAGAAGACTTAAAAGGTTTTTATCGGACCCGCATAGTGGACCCATTTAACACATCATTTGTCATACGGCCTTGATCGATCCATTTAGTTGTACTTCCATGACAATAATGAATTATAAATTGGCATGAATGAACTAGATCCAAATATCTGGCTAATACCCAACCCTAAACAGTCTTAATTACTACTAACATTTATTTATTTCTTATTTGCTTAGTGGACTTACACAATGGGGGCAGTTCAGCCCAGCCTGGAAAATTCGGGCTTGGGCCTAGGTTTTTGTGAAGGTTCGGCTTGGACCCGGGCCCACATCAAGCCCATAAGATTTAGGGCCGGGTTTGAGCCTAATTTTTTAGGTCTGGCCCGGATATATATATATATATATATACATATATCTTTATGTATATATGTTATTTAAAAATATTTAATAATTGATGTTTTATATATTAAATAGAAATTTATAGGAGATTAAAGATTTTAATCCTACAGTCTTAGATCTTACCAAATTCTAATATAGTATTTAATGAAATATAGAAATTACTAAACCCTAATCTTATCGTCTCTCTCTCTCTCTCTCTCTCTCTCACCAATTTCACAAAACCATAACCGTGCCCAATCTCTCTCTCTTACCAAAAGACGAATCTTCTAGTGATGAAGGCTCCGTTAATGATGAAAATAAATCTGAAGTTTAGAGTGGTTGCAAGTTTTGGGTAAAACTGAAACCATTTTCAATATTTTATTACTTATTTATTTACATTAATTTGAACTATTTTTTCTTAGTTTGCTAATATCTTTTTTATTTCACTTTTTATTTGTAGGAATTGAATGGAAGATAGAGCCCCCGAGATGTTTAAAGTTGTTTAGTGGATATTACATGACAATGGATGGTTATTTTTTGATAGATATTATAAGTTCTAGGTTGATTTTTTGTTGATAGAAGAATTGGTTTGTTAAAATTATCATTTTTAGCATACTAATGACCAATTGAAACTTATAAATTACAAGGTATACTTATTTAATTTCTTTTATGTTAGAAGCTTTTATTTTGATATTAAGTTTAAAGTTTCTTATAGGTTACGATAGTCTCCATGACAATAAGTGAAAAAAAGTACAATTGTTTAATTTTGGAAATGAAATACAATAATTAGGCCTGGCCCAGCCTGGGCCCAGTCTAAGCTCGTTGTTATGAAGGCAAAGCCCGGCCCATGATCACCCCTACCATTATCCCCTTAACCCATAACAGTAATTTTTTAGAATTTTATGATTTTAAAATTAATAATAGATTTTTTATTTTATGATACTCAACTTTTTTGTTCATTATCAATTAATAAAATTAATAAAATTAAATATCTGATATATATATATATATATATACATCACCATGCCTCTCCTTCCAAAATATTTTATGATTTTATAGAAATTGAAAACTCTTTAACTAATTTTTATAAAATTGAGAATTATAATTAACAATAATCAAAAAGTATAAAATTTTAGTTATTTCTATTATTATAGTTAATAACCGAATGTAGATGTGGGAATAAAATATTATAATGTTGGAAAATGAAATTATTAATTAATTTATATTGGAAAATAAATGATAAATTAGTGTAATTTTGTTAGTAAACTACTTAATAAAAATAAATATTTAATAAAAAAATTAAAATAATTTTCAATAAATCTTCATAATTACACAAGTGTAATAATTATTTCAAAAATTTTCATAAAACTACATTTTCGTAAAATAAAATTTTGGAAATTAAAAGATATAATATTGTACTTTTGAAAAAATTTTGAAAGTTTATTTAAAATGTATTAAATAATTATTGGAATATTTTGGAAATTTTAGGAACATTTATTACATTTGATAGATTCTGGAAAACTAATAAAAAATTTAGTAATTTTCATTATAAATTTCTGAAAATTATTAAAGATAAATGAGTATGGTAAAGGGGAAATTATAATTTGAATCAATAAGTACACAAATTATTAAGGTAAATTAGTATAATATTGGGAAAAGAGAAATTATCGATTAGTTATTTTAGAAAATATAAGATAAATTAGTGTAATTCTATAGGTAAACCATTTAAAAATAAATTATTTAATAACAAATTAAAAATAAATTTCAATAAATTTTCATAATTACACAAATGTAATAATTTTTTCATAAAATTACATTTTTGAAAATTAAAGACAATTTAGTGTACTTTTAGAAATTTACCATGTGGTTGATACTCATATATCATTTTCATAATTTTTGTCATCAAATTGAATTTTGGGCTGACGGGGAGTGGGTGTCTTGCCTTGAACCCGTCCAACACTAGGGATGGGGTAGGGAAAATTTGAGGATTTTCCAATCCTTGATGAGGAATGGGTGCCTTGCCCTGAACTCACTCGACATTGAAGACGAGGCGAGGAAATTTGAGGATTCCCCGTCTCTAACGGGGAGTGGGTGCCTTGCCCTAAACCCGCTTGACATTGGGGACAGGGATGAGTGCCCCGCCCCGAACCCGCCACCCCATTGCCATTCCTATATAACTGTTAATTATTAGTGAAATTAATAAAAATGTTAGCTTTTGTAATTATTTTTATTTATTTAAAGTCAATAAAAAATTCATTAAAAAATAACAAAATAATAACAATTATTAAAATTACTACAAATGATTAATAAAATTAAATTTATTAATAATATTTATTCATATTAAATTAACAACAATTATTTTTTGAAACTCAACATTAAATGATAATACAATTATTAAAATTTTAAATATTAACAATAAATTTGAATATCTGTAGTTAATTAACAACAAATTTTAATTATTAATATATCAATTAATTAATAATAAATAAAATTATTCAATCTTTCATATTTTTCCATGCATCGCACGGATCCCCGCTACTACTAATTATAAATTGAATCAAAACAGTGAGGTTTTAAAAACTGACCCGAAAATGGAATTGTTCTAGCTACCGGTTTTTAGGTCAGCGGTTCAATAGTCCGGGTTGAACGGTTCGGACGGTTTGCATATTAGGGAAAATATTTTATATGAGATTTGAGAAAGGAGAACTGGAAAAGAGATGTTGTTGGCTGAGAAAGATAAAAAGAAAGAAGAAAAGAAAGAAGAAAAGAAAGAAAGAAAGAAAGAAAGAAAGAAAGAAAGAAAGAAAGAAAGGAAGGAAGAAGAAAGGAAAAAAAGAAAAGAAGAGAAAGGAAAAGGAAGGAGGGAAGGAGGGAAGGAGGGAAGGAGGGAAGAAGGAAGAGGAAGAGGATGGTTCGACGTTCACTGGCGATGGCAAGGTGGCAGCAACAGACGCAGATATGAGTTCTCAGAATTGATATTTGAATTCTCGATCTTAGATTTGAGATTCTTTGCAACATTTGTGTTCTTCTTCTTCTTCTTTCTTCTCTCTTGCAATTTTATACTGCGAATTGCTGTTTGGGTCAAACGATTTGACCGCCCGAGTCAGTAATTTTCTGACAAAGTCAATGATTTTTGACCCAAGAACGAATTAGGGGTAAAACAGAACCAATTGCTTAGAGGATTTCCAAGCCAAACGGTCCGACCGTCCGGATCAACGACAGTTCAAAAACATTGCAAATGGTTTTACAAGGCTGTGATTGACGCTGGAGAGAGACTCAATGGAGAGATAATCATAATGCATAACGAACCAGACACATGGACCAATGCACAACCCCTACTTGTTTTGTTATACCTAAAAGAAAAGTTCTAACCTCCACCAATTACACACACTAGCCGGCCCACCCACCGACAGGCTACGGGCGAAAACAAGACAAGGTAAACCATGACAACCAGTCCCACACTCCACATCCACACCTACAACCATAACACCAGATATTTTTGCCTTTTTAAATTAATTAAAATTATATTTCCTCCTCTGGCTCTGGTTTTTTTCTCTTACCTCATAATGCCGTGTGATAAAACCCAGAAAAATCCAACTTTTCTTCTTCACTGTGAAGACCAACAACAGCAGCAAAAAAGAAGAAGAGAATAATTCTTCTCCGGTCCTTACAATGGGTACCCAAGTCTCCAAACAGATGCAGCGTAGAAAAGCGATCTCTGTGGAGAAGAAGACTCTTACGGATCTTCATGGCAAGTCGGGAGACGAATTTCCTGGATCTGACTACCGTTCTCCTGATCGGAAGAATTGGATGTCAGGTCTCGATCCACAGAAAATTCACATTAACCAAATCGTTTGGCCAGGTACTCATGATTCGGCGACCAACAAAATTGGAGTCCGGTTCATCTCCCGCCCATTTGCTCAATGCCAGTCTTTGTCAATCTACCGGCAGCTTATAAGAGGTGCCCGGGTCCTCGACATCCGAGTTCAAGAGAACCGCCGGGTCTGCCATGGGATCCTCATGACTTACTCCATTGATGTTGTCATCAATGACATTAAGAAGTTTCTAGCCGAGACCCAGTCGGAGATCATAATTCTAGAGATACGAACTGAGTTTGGACACCAAGACCCACCTGACTTTGACAAGTACTTGGAGGAACAACTAGGTGAGTTCTTAATCCACCAGGATGACCATGTGTTTGGGAAGACGATTGCCGAGTTGCTGCCAAAGCGAGTTATATGTGTGTGGAAGCCAAGGAAGACACCTCCACCCAAGGCGGGCGGTCCACTGTGGAGTGCCGGATATTTGAAGGACAATTGGATCGATACAGACTTGCCGTCGACCAAGTTCGAGAGCAACCTAAAGCATTTGAGCGAGCAGGCACCCGTGTCAAATAGGAAATTCTTTTACAGGGTGGAGAACACAGTGACACCACAGGCCGATAACCCTGTCTTGTGTGTAAAGCCAGTGACTGGGAGGATCCACGTATATGCGAGGCTTTTCATTGCACAGTGCATCTCTCGGGGTTGTGCGGATCGGTTACAGATATTCTCCACTGATTTCATCGATGAGGATTTCGTCGATGCATGTGTGGGCTACACACATGCTAGAATAGAAGGAAAGGCCTGAAAGTTAGAGCATTAATTCTTGGGGCGTCAATCGAGGTGCTATCTGATCTTGAATGTTCTTGTTCCTTTTCTACCGGTAATTATTGTTTCCAGGCTCCAGTCGTGATTTAAATTTATTCATTGCTAAGAAAGAATTCAGCTATTTGATTGTGCATAGAAGATCTTTGTTGATGATGTTACTGTATGTGTATGCACGCGAGTGGTGTAAAGGCAGAAGGATGTGTGTTAAATTTGGTTCCTTTTTTGTATGAATAAATCGTATCATGTCAGTAATGCTACCCATTTTTTCTTCTCTCTCTTTCTCCAACATCTGGATTCTGGAAAGAAGTTTAGTGTGTTGTCAGACTCGAATCAGTCTGGATGGTCGGACCGTCTGAACTGGAGCTAAAGACGGCCGAATTCTCACAAATGTTTACTTAATTGGTTTTTTTTTTTTAAACAAGCTGATTGGTTGGAAAGGGACAACTGAATTGTTCAATCTGTGATCTGGTGACAAAATGGTTTTATACCCAATCCCAATCCAGGTCTGACAACATTGGTCTAAGCGAGGGGTACAAGTGTCTTTCTAATGGGGAAGAAGGTGTTATCGGTTCTTGCCTTCTTGGATCTCTGCCCAAGATTAGTGAAGAGGATATGGATAATACGAGAAGGTTCAAAGTCCAGACATAAAATGGTTAGCCCACGCCCCACGGTGGTCCATTGTTTGTAGAAATAAACCATCAATGCGTTGTCGGCAGGACTACTAGAATGTAGATAAAACAAGATTAATTTGTCTATGACTTCTTTTTGGGTACATAGGCTCAAATATTAGTTAGGCCAATGACCGTGCATTATACATTTGTGGTGCACCACAACAAATGTTGGGCGGGGCCCCGGGACACAAAATTTTGACAAACCTTTTTTTTTTGGGTTTGGTGGATGACAAACTCTTAAATAATGGTACAATTGATATTTTACCTAGCTGCTGAGTTGGGACTATGGACTCTTCACATTATTTTTCAACTTATTATCTAATAAAGAAATGTATTTATTGCTTTTAGGGTTTTTATCATGGAGAAGATGGTGACATGCATATGCCGTATGTCATGAATCTCATAGACCATAACTTTCATCTAATAGACGTACCACGATTCAAAGGGGGCCATTATGGTGTTGGTGTGTGAAAATGAGAGATTGGGAACGAAAAAGATAATGAACAACATGTTGCATCTTATCCAACCTAATGCATGAAAAAAGGGCAAAACCAGAAACAGAAAGAGTAATTACTAGCTAATTAAAAGAGTGGTTAGGCTTAGAAAAAGTGACAAAAGAGGGTTGTTGTTACATAGAACCGGCTCTTCCACATCTGATAACATTAGTAGGAATAGGAAGCTCATCCCTGGCGGGTACTGTTGACGGGTCATCCTGCCCCTCGCCTTTAACTCTCACATACAACTCTTGACCTAGGTACCACTTCTCTGCATCCTGAGATCTGAAATTCCACATCCCTTGGTTGTCCAACTCCACCATTATTGCCGTCCATGCGTTTGGATAAACCTGCTCGATTATCAATTTATCAAAGTTTTAGTCTTTAGATCATCAGATGTGTTAAGCCTAGCTAGCTACTGTATAATTGAATTGAGAAGTCCGCACTCTGCGCGCGCGCAGCAGACAAACCTGGACAGTAGAACGAGAAACGGCATCGAGCATGTTATACGCTAATCGCTTACTCTCATCCCACTTCCCTTCATCCATCCTATCAAAATTGAAATAGAATTGATGATGATCCACGACCGCTGCAAATCAATACATCACAAAACAAAGCTTCCCAAATAGAATTACAAGTGCTTGTTGCGAGGTCTCACCCAACAACGAAGAAGTTGTAGCCATCAAAGTGCCAAGTTTGCATTGTTGGCAAGGGGTTCTGGAAGACAATGTGAATGAAATCCCGATACCTGAGATCCATCACTGATGTGCCCAATGCCGGGTTACGGCCATCCGGTTTGTCGGGAATGGCATTGATTGCAAAGACATCACCTAGCTGGAAATAGTCGGCCAGCTTCAATGGCGTGTCCGAGTGCACAAAGGAGATGCCGTTTACTGTGTATCGCTGACGGCTGCCAATGACCGTCATGTCGTTCTCGAGGATGATGGTGCGAGATACATTGATGAGGCCGTAACGGAAGGAACCCTGTGGATTTGGCCGAGCCGCTCCTACTGCTAAATCCCACCTGTTTGGAAATTGGAATGAACAATTAATCTTCATCAAACCTGATCCCTATGATACCAGCAAATGACAATATATAATTATTCCCTTCTTCTCTTCACTTCACTCGTAAGTGGTAACTAATCAGGTGGTTATTTTAGCAAATTCACCGGCCGGGGGTTGACTGATTAGAGCCCTCCCGATATCATGTGTTTCTGGCAGCATAGATTTTTAGTTCTTCATTTATACAAGTCTTTATATAGGGCTCATTTGACGTGTCTTTCTACATGTTTTTTTGGCCGTTTACAAGCTGGGAAGACTGAAAATCGGTCTATTTCCGCTTGGCATGCGGAAGATCTAGCTGCCAAAAGACGGGGCGCCGAAAAGATGTGCAAAATCCATTTTGGGCTGATTTCGGGAAGCTCCAAATGAAGCTTCCTGTGTCTTTCGTGTTTTAATCTCACACTGGAAGACCAGAAACGACGCACAAAAAGACACGCATCTGCGATGCCAAACGGTCTTCAGGCTGCCCGGATCTTATGTCAAAAGCTCAATGCATCTTTTGACTATCAGAGCTATAAGAAGATCTTCTTAAAAAGACTTACCAAACGGGCCCTTATAAATTGAACCCACTTCACAGTCCACACCTAGAGGCTAGAGGGTGACGGGTGACCCACGCACCTACACATCAATCTGGCTGTCCATGGACTAACTCCCTCATCGGACCATCCAAACAGTATTCTCCCAGGGCTGTGGGCCTTCTGGCCCATTATGAGTCTACAACCCACACCCACTGAATTTAAAGGTCCAGATTGGTGAGTAGGCATGCATCAAAAAGCAAAAATGAGGTGTCGTAGGGAGATTGACACTTAAAGGTTGAGAAAAAACATAGGCCCGTTTTCATCGAATAAAGGATTAGCTGCACTTAAAAGTTACGGCTGTATTAGGGGTGGTTTAACCAATAATAAGTAAATAACGCACCGCTCCAATCTCTCACTTAAAGTTATGGTTGACGTGGGGCGTTATTTATTGGTTAAACAACCCATACGGCCATAACACTGCCATTTAATGCAGATAATCTGGATTCTTTTTCATTATGGATTTGCTCACTACGTACCTTATGGAACGGGCTTGCTCTATGGAGTATCTATAATCAAAAGGGTCGGGTCCTGTGGGGAGCGGCCCCTTCGAATTGCCTTGAGAGCCTGGATAGTGTATCACTGCAGCACCTGCGAGTTCGGGTACAGAAAATCGGGAGACGGCAACCATGTGATATGACATTCCAGATTTCTGATTAGCAGTTACTAGGACTGAGTAGGATTGACCCACATGGATGTCCAGAGTCTGGTAGTATTGTTGCAGGGTGTACGACCCCTCTGTCTCCACCAACAACATCAGATGGCCTTCAATTCTGAAGTTCAGACACGTTTTAAGCCCAACATTTGAGATTCTTAGCCGGTAAGTGGCCCCTGTAGACAAACAAAACATTGGGATTGGATTGCATAATTGTATGCATCGTTCCGTAAGGTTAAGCTGAGTTATCAAGTAGTCAATTCCATCAAGTTTCTTCCCATATTGAAAATTCTAAAAATTGAAAGGGTGAAAGTCAATGCGGCGGACATGCAGCTCCAATATAATTGCGACCCTTGAGTCCAGAGTCCAGAGTCCAGAGTCCAGATCCAACCAATTAGCCCAAGAAATCATAGTGGTGTTAGACAAGAAAAGATATATATAAAGCAGAAAAAGAAAATAAAAACGAAAACCAATTCTCTGGTCCATTCCAAAAGCAAAAGAAGAAGATGCTTCAATAATACACAAAGGCTAAGCGGGTATTGGGTGGAAGTGGAATGAAAAGGGAAAACTAAATAATTACCCGTGCGAAATGCAAAATTCGCTTGATAAGGGGCAAGTCCATTTATGAGAATTCCATCTGGTTGAGGCAAGGGGATCCCTTTATCGAGTGAAACCCTCAAGTCCTTCATTAACAGAGACAAATAAACAAACAAATAGTTTCTTCTGTTACTCTCAACTTATGATGAATGCTCCGCATCTTACTTAATTGTTTGACATAACTACCAGATAAGCACAAACAATAATGTAAGAAATTAATGAATGAACGTACCCTGTAATCTGCATTATACCAGTCTCCTATTAAGACGTCGAACTCTTGGAGGGGACGAGGAAAAGGAAGAGGAATCACAACACGATTATTCACCCGGATGGCACCGTAACCACCGGCTGCCTTCTGAAACAGAACCGAGGGGAAATAGAAGAAGCTTCCGATCTGATCCTTCACCTGGAAACTGTACGTCCAGTTTTGTCCCGGCGGTATCGGGCAGTTCGTTCCTTGTACACCGTCTTGCCATGAATTCTTCCTTTGTTGCACTCCGTTCCTTTTTTTTTTTTTTCAAGTTTGAGGAACAAAAAAAATCAAGAAGAACAAGGGGAAAAGAAAACCCAAACGAGCGTTTCATCTCCATCGTTATAATAAAGAAAAACATGCACAGAAAACTCTTAAAATTTGTGAATACAATGACGTTATATAATTTGAAGTACCATGTGAAAAGGAGAGGCTCCGTCAACTTGTTAAGAACATTAACGTTCACGACATCATTGGTTGTCACGTTCAACACCGGACCCGGGAATTGATCATTGATCACGATCACCTAATAAATAATAATTAATCTCAATTCCCTCACGGTCACGGACGATTAATACATTTTTATGGAAAATAATTAATAACAAATAATATTCATAAAAACTCTTTGGCAGCAAATTAGTAATTGAAAGGATTAAATAACGGATAATTAGATTTTGTGGGGGAAATTAAAAAATTGAAGACCACCTGTTTGGGTACCCCAAGAGGAGACACTTGGGAGTAAGAAACAGTCCAGTCGAAGAAAAGATGTGGAGTGTCAGATTCTACGAACCCAAGTAGTAGAAGAAGTGTCCACGATAGGAAGAACCTCAAGCGTCTGATCGGTTCCATTTTATCAACCAAATGGAACGTAGAGGAGGAATTAATGCAGTTAGAAACCCTACCCTGATTCGAATGCGGAGGAGAAGAGAAACTCTTTTGTGGTAGTATAGTGATTAGTGAGGAAGGGAAGCGCGTCTCTCTCTTTTTTTAGGATCCAAGGCGGCGAAGAAAGTGAAGGGAGTCAGAACTCACAACTCAGCATTCGCAAATCGCAAAGAAGAGAGCGAATAAAGAAGAATGAGTTCGTAGCGGTTAACGAGGAGGAGGAAGAAGCTTCAGTTACAAGATTTGTTTGTTTCTTTAATTTGGCTGTTGTCTGTCTGTCTGATGTCTGAAGGGGAGTTAGGTTGTTCACATATGGATCATGGGAAGGTACGAATAGGAATCAAACGGCTGAGATTGCGGGTGATCGTCATGGCTTACGCGTGTGTAAACTCTACGTCCCTTGAAATAAAGATGATCAAACGCCTTCTTCATCCGCAGGCAGGATACTGGATACATACACCATCCAATTTGTAAAACCTAAAATCTAAAAAGCTCAAGCAGTTACCTTTTTCTTTTTCTTTATTTTTAGTCAAAAAAAAAAAAAATGGCGACGAAAAAAAGCAAAAGAAGTCGGCTAAACTAAACTATTCATCCGCCTCTGATTGAAAGGTAAACCCACTGTCTCGCTGGCGCTGGATACGTGGTCGCACGTGCCTCTGAATACAATTGGGATCGGATGTCGAAAGAAAGCAGATTATCTCCCATTATAATCACCATTTATATAATGGCGAACGTGGTTGTTACAAGTTACAACACTTGCGACCCGTGCTCCTCACGGGTTATATTTCCTTGTCAATTGGTCATTGTAATTTTTTTTTAAATAAATTTTCTTTTCAATTATTCTTGGTGATTGTAATTTTTTAAATAAATTGCAGATTAGTATTTTGTATGGGGGTAGTGTCATTTTACCACCAATAGTTTAAATGTGTTTATGTAATGTCGGAACCTCCGAAAGCTGTCACTTTAAGAGATGACGTTAGACGTTGGTATTTCCTCATTATCTATATACATATATATATATATATATATAATATGATTTAAAACTTTTTAAAATGTTAAAAAAATACCTTTTAAAAGAAGATACTGATTATCATTTATTTTTCTTCCATGTTGAATTAATAGTGGTGAATATAGTCTCAAACCCACCACCAGTCTAGCATATTAATATGCAAATCTGCAATGCCCAGTCTAGGGTACTAATTTGCACCCATAATGAAGCTTAGGTAGGTCGAGTTTGTTAGAGATACAAACACGGAATCAGGGTATTTATGCACCCTGGTTCAGTTTTGTTAGTGTTTGTTTGAAATACATAAATGCAACGATTAGGAGAGAAACCACAACCTTTTGCATCAATTTAAAACAAACAGGATGAGAACAAAAAAGGGTTAGAACTGAGAACCCACTTTGCATCCTTAAACCGAAAAAAGAGTATTTATGCAGAGTATATATTTGTGTTTGTATCACAAACAAACACAAAATTATGGTTTTGTTTACCCAAAAATACTTTTGGTTTTAACTATTGGTTCTATCTTTAACTTAGAACATTCTTTGAATTTGGGCTGGAATAATATATAAATCCATCTCTCAGAAGAGAAAAGATAGGATTGATTTGTGTAGTTTTGTAGGTCCATGCTTTTAGTTTTCAGTCCTAAAATCAGATCTTTATGAGTTAGATTTGTTATAGTGATTGAAGAGCACAAAAACAATAAAAAGTTACTTAGAGTCTATAGTGCGTTGTTCGTTGGCTAGTGGGTTAGGACTACCGTTACTTTGATCATGTCATCAAAGTGATGACGGTATTTCTGAAAGGTTGCTTTCTTAAAAATATTATCAAAACAGAGAAGCACCTGACAATTAGATCTTCATATGTTTGTTTCATCTTCATTTTCTTGTTTCTGCGTTTTGTTGGGTAGTGGATTTCATATAATCTTTCTAATGTGTTGAATAAATCGTGATGATGGTCAGGGGAGATGAGGATGATTGAGGTTGTGTATGCCAAGTATATAGCAAATTGCATTTGTTAATTTGGTCGACTATATGTTCAATCAACAATACTTGGAGACAGTGGTGGATGCAGGACCTTTGATCACAATTGGGCTCTGCTCTTAACAGAGCGCCATTCACACCGATCTCATAGTTATATCTCACCATGTATTAGGAACATCTCCCATGAATAATAACAAATAAGAACGGGAGATATTCTCAATGTGTGACTAGAATATGCCGTGAGGTCGGTGTGAGGAGTAAATCTGGAATCCTTTGATCATTGGGGGCACACCTCTGGCCTCACTCTTAGGCCTTTTAAAACCATGAAGACTGACCTCATTTAAGAAGTCAATTTTTATTTAACCCCTTATTATTTTATTTGTGTGTGGGTAATTGTATAAAGAAAAATTAAATTTCTTCATATACATATAAAAGCATTTTCAAATCTCAGTGGGGCAATTGCCTACATTGGTTCTACATAGATCAGCCACTGATTGAAGAAATACAATGGCTATAAAAGTTATTACAAACCAATACAATTTGGAAATTTTATTATCCACTATAACATCACTTAACGTTGTTTGGACTAAAGTGGCACTTTCTGAAAGTTCAGGTACTACAGTGACATATTTTAAAGTTCAGGTGCTAAAGTGAGACTACTACCAAAGTACAAGGTTTATTGCAATTTGGTGGGTTGAATTATGAGCATTTATTAATGAATTTTGCTTTTTGAGGCTTAAAATAATACTAAAACATCTTTATATATTTACTAAAACCTACTCTATAGTTTGTGCTTTACTAAAATCATCCTATAGTTTTCAATCAACTTACTTAATTGACCATCTATTTAGACAGAAGTGAAAGTAACATTCTTACACTTAGGCCATGTTTGGGAGTGCTTATTTGGGTCGGGACCACACCATTAAGCACTTATTGGTGTTTGGGAAATAAGTTTGAAGCAAGTGCTTATTTTAAAAATAAGGGCTTATTTTAAAAATAAGAGCTTATTTTTTAAGCCCAAATTTCTAACCATTTTTTAAGTGCTTATAAAATAAGCACTTATTCAATTTTTTTTCTTTCAAAATTATCCCTAGTTGAATTTAAAATACCACTTATAAAGCTATCCCTAGTTGAATTTTACAAAATTGCTTTCATGAAAGTTTTTTTATAAAAGTACTTCCGCAAAAGTGCTTTTATAAAAGTACTTTCACAAAAGTGCTTTCATAAAAGTGTTTTTGTAAAAATGCTTTCATAAAAGTCTTTTCATAAAAGTACTTTTATAAAATTGCTTTCATAAACGATGGATAAAATAGTTACAAATACTTATTTAAGTTACAAATAATTATCTGGGTAAGTGATACCCATCTCCTATGTGGGTAAATAACTTTCCCACTTGGGGGGAAAGTTTCCAACACTTAAATAGGACAAAAGTGCCCCTTTTAATAATGAATTTTTATGGTTAAAATGATCATTTCCTTTTTTTACTTGGGAAATAAAAGAACATGGGTAAGTACACTTATTTGGGTAAGTGTTTCCCAGGAAAATCTTACCCAGGTAATTGCATTTACCCAAATAAGTAACTTACCGAAAAGCGAATGGGACCTTAGTGATACCCAAGGAAAATAAATTTTTGTGGACCCCACATAAATCTAAGAAGTACATAAGAGTGTTTCTTGAATGCCAAGGGTGAATTGTGATACAATTATTTCATTTTGTTAATTTCTTTCTATATATAGAGTAGTAGGGGTGCAACCAAGGTTAAGCCTGATTATGCCAACTTAGGCCCAACCCAAGCTTAACCCAACAAGCTTGGGCTGGGTTGGACTTGATAAGGCTAGGCGGATTGGTTGGCTTTGAAAGAACTTATTATATTTTGTGCAACCATTTTTTATTTGGCTTTATAGCCCAATATACGAGTAGATTACTTAGGACCCATGTGTTGTAGGGGCATTGTTAAGTGAAATAGAAGCAAACCTGATAGCTTGATTTTTAAGTTTTATGAAATAATTGTAAATTTTTTATTAATATAGTCATTTTTTAAATGAATATTAAATCTTAATTAAACGGGATTTAAATATTATTAATTATGCCCAAACCCTAATAATAAAATTAATTAATTTTAGAATTAAATTGTTAGTGTTTTTTTAAAATTTATTTTAATTTAGTTGTAATTAATTAGTTTTATTGAAAATTTTGAAATTATTATTTGATAATTAATCTTAAAATTAAAAAATTTAGATTATTCTATTAATTATAAAGTTTTTATTAATGTAATTATTTAAAATTAATTTTAAGTGGATTTTATATCTTAATTAAATGGAATTTAAATATTGTTAAGTCAAAATGTTATTACAATATTATATCCATGTTATAATATTACATTATTTATACATAAATACTAGTATTTATTAATTATAAATTAATATTTTAAAATGATTAATTTTAAATTTTTTAGTTTTTATACATTAATTTAATAAAAAATATAACAAATTTTTAATCATTAAAATATTGGTGAAAGTTAATTATAATTATTATAATATTAATTAATTAATTTAGTTAATTGTAATTGGGTGTAATTAAATATAATGGTTAACTAATATTATTATTAATCGAGAACCTTTTTTAGCGGTGCAAGCAAGATTAACCTAGCCCAATCCCAAATTAACCCAGCCCATAATTTTGCACAGGCTAGGCTTGGATTTTTTGTCCTTGAGTTGGGCCTAGACCCAAAACCCTAAGCATCCCTATTCTTCAAGCTGGGTCAAAGCCTAACCTTTAAATAGAATTACTCCAAACTCAACTTTAGCCTATCCCTACCCCAACAAGAGCTTGGATTGACTACACTCTTAAATACACACATATGTAGATGAATATGTCATAAGTATATACATACATAAGATAGGTGCATTTCGTTGTTTTAAAAAAAACAAAAATAAAATAAAATAAATGATAACGAATTATAATGGGATAACTAGTCAGGACCCATGCACATGCATAAGCAAAAATGAAGATGGGGCTCTATGACATTTCCAATTAAGTGAGAGTGGCCAATTTCCTATCCTCTAGATAAATTTGTATTATTTTTTTGTATCTTAATACTATTTTTTTAATTTTTATTGATTTTTTTTGTATTTTTAGGTAAAATTATAAAAAGAGATCATTGTATAACAATTCTATAAATCACCTTTGTGTTTTGACCCTAACAAAGGCCTCCCATATAGTTTTGAGAAAAAAATGCAAACACCTCCTTTCCCTTGGCTTTTCAATAACAAAGACATTGAAGTTACCAAAATACCCTTACTATTGTTAATGCATTATCAGATACAATTTAAAGTATCAACCTTACCCTTCACTAGTATATTTTGCTAGATAACTTTCAAAGAATAATTCTCCTTTCTT